ACATGTAGTTATGCAGCTGTAAATCAGCCTCAGATAATGGACAAGAAGATAAAGTGCTTGATTTTATAGTATTTCTCTTGTGTTCCTGTAACTTCGTTGCCTCACCTGACTCAAGATTCTCAGTCTCTGGTACACTTCCTCCTCACGCTGTTAAACAAGTGGCAGAGCAAAGAAAGAGCCACTGCTTCAAAAGAATTAGGTCAAATTCATGTAACTCACAAATAGTAAGTGACTAAAAAATGAACATTCCCTGTTGTATTTAGAGAAAGCAAACATTAGCATTCTCTGCAGATCTGAATGCTCCAAACCCTAAGAAAGCTAGGAAATGGTTTGATATGCAGATCACTAGTACTACAGTTGGAAAGCAGAGATGATTGATTGGTAGTGAGAAAAAGCAGTCCACTTGAGTAGCACATTTCAGATAACTTCAGTGCTGTAAAAGTACATGGTATACAAAATAAACCTCAGTGAACAGTACTGAGGTGCATTCAAATTGGTTTGGATCTGTCTTGTCTGAATCTTAAGTGTTTGGATAATAAATCAGGATGGATGCATCCTGGCTGTCTCACAAAAATAACTGCTGCCATTTCAGATACATCAGCAATAAGTGTTTTGGCAACCGTAACCATCATAGTTTAGAACCACCCAACACATCAGTAACCTCATCTTAAATACAAATGAAATTGTAGGGACCTACAGTATTGTTCCTTTACAAGATAAAGGAAGGGTAGATGAGAAGTTTACATTCCCATTCTCCCCTCTGCTTATACTCCAGGGTCTCTGGTTATCTGTTGCTGTTTTATTCACTGCAGCTGAGACTAGTTACCTCTCCTGTGATTTTTGAGGTCAGTTCTTAATTTGAATGTGTATTACAAATAATTCCCTCTGCTAATTTTTTCAGATATAAGGAAAAACAAATTGACATTGAAAAAAGAATCTGTTCCATTACAGATGTTAGGAAATGAAACAGGCACAGAGCACTAGTCAGATGCACTGCCTTCTTAGTATTTTTTAAGAAGTATACAAACTATAGAGAAATCACAGGAGATTTTCAATTATTTTTAAGTTCTTAGTGTTGCTGCTTTGCACAGTTCTTAAATGTAATGTAGGTGTTCTCTTGTGAAAAAAGGAGCCATAATGCTTAAAAAAAAAAAAAAGAGCTGCTGGGTTAAACATCTTTCCTTAAGATGGTAGGTGGAAAGGTAGCTTCATAGAAAAACTCCTGTGTCACCTGAGAAGACTTTTCACTCTCTCCTTACTCATCTGGTTGTTCTTTTAAAGACAGAATTATACCAGTAGTTTTAGACAGGCTCTTTAAGCCAGTGAAAGAAACAGTCTGCATCTGTTTAATGTGTTTGAAAAAGGTAAGCACATTGTAACAGTGGCTCCATGAAGAGTATTACATGTTCCTTCCCTGCCTTTCCACCCCAATCTAATTGCAAACATGCTTTTGTAAAAGATGTAGCTTTAATGTAATGATGGCCAAATATAAGCAACATATTCTGATGGAAGTAAAACTGGTACTTTGGACAGAAATGTGTTTTCATCTGCAATCCTGGCCGTAGGAGTGCACATTACTGGGCTGTAATGGCATGCTGCCACTACCATCTTTGGAAATAGATGACAGTAATTGCAAAAACCCTTTCCAAGCATCAGAAAAAATTACCTGCACCTAATGATCAGTTTCCTCCTAAATTCAGAAGCAGAGGCAAGTAGAAGAGCCTTCTTGGGAGGGAATAGATGATTTAGGTGAATGAATATTTATAAAAATGAGAATATCCTCAGCTCATGAAAAGCCATTGAGTTCCTGTGTGCATCAGGAATCACAGCTTCCATTCACAGATTATTTTTGTCAGGCATACCACTGCCACTATCAGCAACAACATCTTTTTTGCAAGGAGAGCTGGTAGAAGGAGGATAGCTATTAAACTACAAAGTTCATTCCTTTTTTTTATAGGCCCAAAGGATACAAATTTCATTTCGCAGACATTTGAAGTCATTTCTTTGACAAATAGAATACACTAACTAGTGATAAATTGGTTATCAGATATAGTCAGCATGATCCAATTCAACTCTGTCCCATGTACCCAAATGCCCATTTCTATAAAGGAGCTACTCATAAAGATTATTGAAAACTAAGTTTTTCTATTTTAAGAAATTGTACAGAGGCGTTTCAAAAGGAAATGTTTCTATTTGAAGTACCCCCACTTCTGGGAAATGATGGCAGTTGAAAACTAGGTCAATGAAGTACAGTTTTCATTGTAAAATTCTGGTTCAATTTGTTGCATTGGACATCTAAGTTCTTCCCTCCCAAAATATATATTGTTATTGAAGATTGATCATAATAATAAACACTGATCTGAAAGTTAAATTATAGTGCATACATTACTCAGAAGAGGTTTTTTTAAAGCTGTATGTTGTATATGCAAGGGGTATTCTTCATTTGATGATAGAATAATCTAAGGTGTTGGTCAGACATGGCTTTCTGCATTTGTGAGATATCATACACTGAAAAAGATACATGCAGGCATTGCTACAGACTAGATATTCCGCAGGGAGACATCCCACAGGCAAGGAAGTGATGCTTTTTTGATGATGAAGTCCTTCCCCAGCCTGTAGGAAACATCCATCATTCACTCATGTTCCTTTTCTTATATCCATGCAATTAATGGGGTTGGAAGAATGGTTAGCTGTACCTTGTGGTTGTAGGTTGTTATCAGCTGAAGAGGTGAAATAGTACCCAGTGTACTGAAGCTCAGAGTTACATGAAGGTCTTTTATTTTTATACCACATTCTGGAGCAGCGTGTTCAGATTAATATAATGCCGTTGCCATTGTTTTCGGTAAAGACAGCGACATGAACTGATATGAAGCGGTATTGTTAATAGATAAGTGGCCAGCTTCTAATCTACCACCTTTTGTATCTTCTGGCAGTCAGTCCCAAAAGTTTCTAGAAAATCAAAACTGAGTGCCTCAACACATCTGTGTTCTTGAATAATCAGTAAGAAATCACAGAATCAGTCTTTTTAGCACTTCTAATACAGAAGGCTCCAAAGACTGACCTCTTTGTATGATACACCAAGAAGCGACAGTTTTGCAGGTCTAGGTGTGCAGAAGCTTAGTTTTGGCATTCTCTTTATCTATTTCTCTGTATCATGGCCAGGGAGGCTCCTATGTGCCTCACTGCCTGTCCTTCTGATTTTTTTTTTTTTGTAGTTTGGTTTGGAAAGGACCTCAAAGACAATCTAGTTCCAACCCCCTGCCATGGGCAGGGACACCCTCCACTAGACCAGGTTGCCCAAAGCCCCATCCAGCCTGGCCTTGAGCACTTCCAGGGAGGGGGCATCCACAGCTTCTCTGGGCAACCTGTTCCAGTGCCTCACCACCCTCACAGTGAAGAATTTCTGCCTAATATCTCATCTAAATCGACCCTCCTTCAGCTTAAACCCGTTACCCCTTGTCCTGTCACTACTTGCCCTTGTAAACAGTCCCTCTCCATCTTTCCTGTAGGCCCCTTCAGGTACTGGAAGGCTGCTGTAGGGTCCTTCTGATTTCATAAGCTTTGTGCCCTGTTCGGGCAAAAGGAACGAATTTGACCAAAAGCAATATTTAAGTTCCCCCATCCCAAGTGATTGAAAGGAAATTAATCAAAGGCAGGCTAAGAAAATGGAGTTTTAGAAAAGTGTATTCGATTAAGAAATAATCAGTTCAGGTGCTTCATTTATGTCAGGCCAGTCAGGTATACATTGCTGATTGTTTAGGAATAACAGTAATAATTGAACTAAAGATGGGCTGTAATGAAAGTGACGTGGTTCAGCCGCAGCCGGCAGCTGAGCACCACACGCCGCTCGCTCTCCGCTCCCCCCCGGGGCTGGATGGGGAGGAGAACGGGAAAACAACGGCAAAGCCTCAAGGATTGGGATGGGGACAGGTTACTGGGACAGCAAGGGAGAGGGAAACACTCAACACCAGTACTGGTAACGGAATGTTCACAATGGGTGACAACAGAAAGCAATTTACCCATCTGACAACTGACCAACTGACTGGACGCTCAGCTGGTCCCACAGCTGTGCCAAACCCACCGCTCCCCGAATAGCACCTTTCATGGCGAGCGTGACGTCACATGGCATGGAATAGCCCCCAACCAGCTTGGCTCACCTGTCCTGGCTCCTGGTGAAAATTAACTCTGTCCTGGCCAGAACCAGGACAGAAAGTCTTTTCAAATCAATGCTCTGTAAATTTACCTCTAGTTTTAATTTGATGGTTATGTTGACAATCTCTAGTTCCAAGCACGTATTTCAGTAGCACAGGATTTCTAAAACATAAGGATTCTTTTGCTATGTTTCTTTTTCCAGAGTCACATAATCTTTGTTGAAAGTTAATTAATTTGTTACCTGGAAATATCTGTTGGCCAAGTGCCACCCAGAGGTTTCTTGCTGTATTTTCTGCTGATTTTTAGTCGTCTTCATTTTGACGTTCCATGACAAAGCAGAGCTCTAATAAAAAGGCTCCAAGTCACTCTGTGAGTGGATACAGAGAGGGGGTGTGCATACACCGTGGCCCTGGGAAGTGCAAAACCCATGTTCTGCTTGAATTATCATTGGCTGCTGAGTGCCTATACTCTACTGTTACAGCAACATCACCTGTTCTCTGTCCTTCTTTATTAATCCACGTGTCAGTGCCACCATGAATATTCCTTATCCAGGCACCATGCTCTATATTTATCTTGTAAGTCAGATTTTCTTTAAAAGCTTTAGAAAATAAGTAAAATGCTTTCAAAAGTCCGTGGCAGAAAAGAAAGTTATGTAATTGAGCAATATTCTGAGATCTGAATAGGCTAAACAGGACTTGACTGATCCTGATTCTGCACTTAAGAGTCCTCCTGTATTAAGTGTTCTTTAAGGTCCAACATGATTTTTGTAAAGGTGACATTAAGTTTTAAGAGATGTCTGATGCTGTAGAAAAGTAATGAGCTTTTTTCTCTCCTCCTCTTTTGGGCAGTTTTGGTATGAATCATGATGGAATTGGAAATTCCTGTGGGACCAAAGGTCATGAAGCAGCGAAGCTAATGGCAGCTCATATTACAGCAAACACCAACCCTTTCTCTTGGTCAGCCTGCAGTCGGGATTACATCACCAGTTTTTTAGAGTAAGTAATCTCTCAAGAAAAGTGATGAGTTTTCAAAAAATCTACACCTTTCAGAATAAATAGTAGAGATACAATGACATGTTCTGATGGTTTACATTTTTAGAATAGGCCGAAATACAGCAAGTCACTTAAGATTTTTATTTTGTAGAGCACTTTTTCTATGTAATGGCAAAAGCTTCTTCTGCTTCATTCGCCACCTTACAGTTCTCATTTTTAATCTATTCAAAACATTTTGAAGTGCTGATCGTATCTCATTACTTCATTAATCTGAGGGTGAGAAATAGAGAAGGGTGGAATTTGTCTATGAATGATGGGAAGTATTTTTTTTTAAAATACATGCATATTGTGAGGGAATCTAATGAAGGGAACAAGGTTGTAGTCCTTTCATTCTCCAGATTTTTTTCATGCAGTCTTGTGGGTTTTTATCTATCAATGTTCTGTGGTATCATTGGTGAGAATATAAATATTATAGGAGAGGATGGCATAGATCTTTATATTAATACCTTAAAATTATGCTAACCTGTACTTCTGTGTTGATTTTTATCCAGAAGTAGATTGCTACCTGAAATTTTACTTCTGTATGAAAAATTTTAAACAGTCAAAATATGTTTATTTCAAAAAATGCGCTTATGTCAGTGTGTAGATTGGCATATATTATGCATAATGAAGCCTTTGTATGAGTTCTTAATTGTGGAAGACAAACACAGAACTGTGAGTTCACTGAGAACAGATTAATAACAGGATTTTTTAAATGGCATAAGACAGGCTTTATGAGAGCAAGTGGCAGTTGGTTGATAGGTTCACTGTCATCAGTGCAATCATTCCTTTAAGAAGTAAAGGTTGTTCAATAATTGAGACACTTGCTGTATTTTACGAGATGGACTTAAACCAATCAAGTGGTCCAGCCATGAGACTACTAAGAACAGAATCAGCTTCTCCTCCTCTTTCAGGGGTCTAACCTCAGAATAAGATGCTGTATACTGAATCTTACCTGAAGGGACCCATCCAGGCTGATAAATTTTCTTTAGGTTGGTTGAGATGTAGTTTCAAATGTCACTGAACTGGTCTGAAGAGGTGTTTGAGCTCACTATAGTCAGTGGGCAGAGACAGACATTTAATGTTGATGCTGTTCAGAGGAAAAATACTTCAGTTACTGTGTCATGTTAGGGCATTTTGTATCACCCCAATGAACTGTGCACCCACCTAATTTTATGTACTGGAGCATGTAAGATGAGTGTCTGAACTAAGCACACTAAGTCATCCTTACATATATGTGTGATACAGGTTTCTCACAATATAAATTGATTTTCTCAGGAGAGATGTGTATGTATTCATTTAACACTACTACTATAAAAAAATACAGGATAGTTTTGTTTTATCATTACCAAACATTTCTGTTAATTCAACACTGTTCCCATTAGTAGTCTTTCTAGAATGTCGTGCAGCCTAGTTTTAACTGTGGCAAAGAATACGATTTTCACATCTCTGCTGAGAGATTATTTTACAGCTTAGTAGTTCTGACTATTAATCTTTCAGTTCAGGTATTTTCTTGTAGCATTTGGGGGTTTGTTTCCTACTGTTACAATTCCTTTATTCTCTGTCTCATTTACTTCTATTTGTTGCTCTTCTCTGAACTCCATTTCGATCCCATAATCGTCCTGGCAATAAGTTTTCTATTGATGAAGACATAATTCAACAGATAGCTAACAAGTAATTTCTTATTTGTGGGTTTAGAGAAAGAAACGTGGTAAAAGTCTGTGGCTTTTGTTATGCTGCAAATATAATAGAGCTGAACATTTGTTCATAATGTTCCTGCACAGTTTTAAATTTCAGCCTGAACAAACTTTCTTGTTTCTTTAATTGATATGTATGCAGTGATGTTTCAAGGGTTTTTCTGCCACTTAAAAACATGTTTAGCGTGTGCCTTCTCTACTTCATGTTTAATTTTTTTTAAAATTTATGTTATTATTTACTGTTACTCCACTATTTTTTTTCCATTTCCTAGATTTGATTCACTGGTAAGTTTCATTTTTAAGTCTGTGGAATGCCAGTGAAATTGTAGTTATATTAGCATAAAGCCAGAATAGTACTTTGGTGAATCTGTTCCCATAGTTCTAATCTTTTCAGGTTTTTTGAGATACTTCTCTATCATTGCCAGTGTTTGCAACTCTACTGGAATTACTACCATCTGTGAATTTCATTAAAAAATCATTACTGAAGATACTGAAGTGATATTTGAGCTAGAGTAAAAAAAGATCTACACATAGCAGCTTCAATAATAAATTATCTTTTTATAATATTTTAGCTGTATTTTTGTAACCTGGAATGTAGATGTTACTTTTTTCAAAGCCACCTTGGATAAACATTATTTTATGCATTGCAATTATGAGTAGATTTTCCAATTGTGTAGGTTACTGTGTTAAATAACGTACTAAGAGCCAAAGATAACTTCTCCTTCATCTACTAATTTTGCAATCTATTTTTTAAAACGTCAGATTTCTCAAACACGATCTGTTCATTATATATCTATGCTTCTTTCTGTTTGTGGCTCTAATATCCAAGAATAAATTGATACTTTTTTCTTAACCTAGTTGTTTTATTATTTCATAAAGTAGAATAGTTTGTAAAACTGTAGTTTTTTTCTCCCGTTTCTAGTTTTCTCCCCAGCTTTTTGTGTCGTCTCCTCAATAACAGCAGGAAACTGTTAAGATAGTTACACAGCTACCTGCAGGACAGCTGTTAGAAGCCTAGAACCCTTCTTTTTACCCATTCACACCTTCCTTTAAGGCAGAACAGCTTTAAGAGCAGATACTTTTCTGTTGCAGATAATGATCAGTGAGCAAGAAGCAAAGAAAAATAGTGAGTTTCATGTGGTATCAATTCCCTGACTGATCCTATAAGAGCAGAACAGTCTGCATCCAGACAGGAAAAATTACTCTTTTTTTTTTCTTCATAATTTAGCAACAGATGAGAAAAATGCTGTTTTAGAGCTTTAGAGGTAAAGCCTCAAGATATTGTCATCTCTGTCTCTAGGTGTTTATTCCAGATAGAGTAGACTCTGTCCTTTTTCTTTCCATTTTTCCTCCAGAATGGGAGACAGGACCCACTAGACTACAAGCAAGGAAGACAAGTCTTTTTTCTGTGCCGAATGAGTATGGCTAGTTTAGAATTCATTTATTTATGTCTAACAAGAAAGGTAGATCATGATGGGATGAAATGCAGATACCCAAGCAGAAACCAAGAGGCCGTGAGTCCGTATGACGTACCACAACGTCTTTTAGATTTCTCAGGTTGGATCTGGATACAAGTTTGGGCAGGGCTGTCATGGCACCAGCATTATGCAGCTGAAATGAATTTTGCTAGAAGTTCAGTATGTGTTTACCATATTATATGATAAGGTAGATTAATGTGGATTTACTAGTTTACTAGCTTGGGTCACCACTTGCCTCAGCAGTTTTGCACTGTGTGGCATTTTGTACTGCAGATACCATATTGTCCTTTATCATCAGGCAGAAGCATTTTGAAACAGAAGTCATCCTGGTGACAAAGTAGAGCCTCACCTTCATCCTTCTCTTCCTGAAGACTTTCTTAGAACTACACCCAGAAACAAATTTTCCAGACTGAAGCTACTGACGAATAGCCATTAAGTATCACTTAGAAGGTATTGATTCAGTCAGGCACTAGTTGGGAGAGCAATGTATTTTTCAGGATGGCTGGATAGCGGACGAATATGGCTCAAAGGATGACAATAAGACAAAGCACACCTATATATTGCTAATACATCTCTCAGAGCTCTCAAGAAGAATGACCAGCCAGCACAGGCTGTGACATGGCCAAAGAAAATTCTTCTTTTTCTTGAGGAAAATATTTCTTCTAGCATATAAAAGCTGTTTTCTGTCAAGCTTTATGTTAGAGTGAAAGATTGCCTGAATTCAGTTTATCAGCTGAACTGTTCATAAGTGCATGTTTCATTATATCCAGCATATTGTTATACAGTGTACCTATAGAGCTATGCAGACACCTAGACATAAAGAAGAATACTTTCTGCTTGGAATTCTTTATTCAGTTACTTCTTTTTTTCTTTAAAGTTTACTAGGATTATTGTTTTTTTAACTGACAGATAATTGAGTAGAAAGGGTGTGTCCCCAATTACTGTAGATTTCTGAAACTTTGAAAGTCTTATGTTTTGCTTAAAAGACTACCTACTTAAAAAACCCAACAGTTTCTGTAAACTGGGCTGCCGATATGTTTTTGAGCGTTGACTTTTTAAGTGTTACTCCTTGTCTACCTCTTGGGTTGTTTAAATTTGAAGAAGTTGTAAAGGGCAGAAGTAGCAGCAGATTCCCATTAACTTACTTGTAGAATGCTTGATGAAGTAAATATGGAACAACGAATTGCTCCAATATTTTATAGCTTAGTATCTCCCAAACTCTCAAGGCCAATTACTAATAGATTTTGGTAGCTGGATGATTTTGATTGATGGACCAATAGATTTTTCCTAATACAGCTACTGGATAATTACTCAATGAATAAAAGAATGCTTTGGAACACAGACTATATTGTGGAGGAAAGCATACTGTAATGCAATAGCAAATTATCTACTAGCAAACAAAAGAAAAAATTAGTATTATGAAAAGATTGTGCAAAATTAGAGTATTTGCTATGAAATAGATAACAAGACATAGAGCCAGCCTTGCTTAAAAGATTGGAAAGAAGTAGAATTTATCATGAGAGTGAGTGGCAAATCCACATCAATATCTGAATTTCCCTAACATTCAAGAATGTTTTCATTTAGTAATCCTATCCTGTTTCATTTTAATTTTAAACATACCACTCCAAACCACACTTCCGTTACTTATGTCCTGATTCTGCAAATATTAATGTTACTATCTGTAGACTATTGAGCAATCTGTAGTTTATTAATTAATTTCATGTTAAGCAGCTTTTGTAATCTGTACAGAAGTATATCCTGGTGCTCTCAAAAAATCAGTTTTTACTCAGGAAGAGTATGTAATAAATATTACATAAGGATTCTGTTAGGAGCCAAATGTTATATATAGACATGTAAATCATGTTTTTGTTTGTATGTGTATGTATAAAATGCACTGTGTATATAGTTAATACATTTTAATCTTTCCCCCCCCATATTTTTATGGGTATTTTGGTAACAGAATTAAATATGTATACTATTCATGTATTTATGTATATGATACATAGCTATAGCTTAGCTATAACAAATAATTACAAATATTTATAATACATTTAAGTTATGATTGTTAATCATAGCATGCATTATAGTCCACATCATTATTATGAATGAGCCAATTCTGTAACATTGAAAACATATTTTTAATGCCAGTGTTCTGGGATATTTTCTTCAACCATTGAAGGAGTTGTGTTCTACTGTATATGTTTCTGAGATATTTGGGAATAGATACTGTAATATCATAAACCCTGAAAGGTCTACATCCATGGTTTTTTGCTTTTTCTCTTTATTTGCCTTGCATACAACAGTGATGTCTGTACAGTGGTGATGATTCTCAGTTTTGCATTTTTCTGTCTGTGAAGATTCTGACATTGAATCCCTGCTTGCTCTTATTTTGATCAAGCAGTTAGAAATGATAGTATGTCTGAGATCTTAAGCTTTCAGAGAATGCTGTAGTATCCTTGACGTCCTTCCAAACAGAAGATTAATTTGTTTTCCTGAGATATTAAAATACAAAACAATGTTTAAATTATATTGTAGAGTGTTTTACAAAGATCCCTTGAGACACTACACTGGAATATTGGGATGAGATGACATCAAGCTTAGCTATTCTATAATTGAAACCAGTCCCACTATGTGCCATAAAACCTCATGAAATTAACCTAAAATTAGGAAAATGAGAGAGGCTTTGAGTACTAGTAGTACTAGTGGAGTACTCTTGTGGAGTCAACAGAATGCAAGGATGAGTTTGAGATCATCATGGTTTGAGAGCAGCCCTGAGAAGGACATGGGGGTGTTGGTGGTCAAGAAGCTCAACATGAGCCAGCAGTGTGCACTTGCAGCCCAGAGAGCCAACCATGTCCTGGGCTGCATCAAAAGAAGTGTGACCAGCAGGTCAAGGGAGGTGATCCTGCCCCTCTACTCTGCTCTTGCAAGACCTCACCTGGAATACTGTGTCCAGCTCTGGGGGCCCCGGTACAAGACAGTTGTGGAGCTGTTGGAGCGAGTCCAGAGGAGGGACACAAAGATGATGAGAGAGCTGGAGCACCTCTCCTGTGGAGACAGGCTGAGAGAGTTGGGGTTGTTCAGCCTGGAGAAGAGAAAGCTCTGGGGAGACCTCACTGCAGCCTTCCACTACCTGAGGGCGCCTACAGGAAAGCTGGAGAGGGACTGTTTACAAGGGCAGGGAGTAATGGCCTTAAGATGAAGGAGGGTAGATTTAGAATAGAAATAGAAATTCTTTACTGTGAGGGTGGTGAGGCACTGGAACAGGTTGCCCAGAGAGGTTGTGGATGCCCCATCCCTGGAAGTGTTCAAGGCCAGGTTGGATGGGGCTTTGGGCAACCCGGTCTAGTGGAGGGTGTCCCTGCCCATGGCAGGGGGTTGGAACTAGGTGATCTTTGCTGTCCCTTCCAACCCAAACCATTCTATGATCTTATTTCTATTGCAGACACTAAAGATCTACCCACTTCCTGTTCAAAAATGTAGATGCTCTGCAGGGTTACCCTGTAGGTTTTTAGACTTTGTATATGCTTCCTTTATAAGATAAAATCACAAAGCACAAATGCGATTGAGAGTAGATATTTTCTAAAATTGCAGAGATGAAGGTATTTGGGCATTCTTTTCCTTACTATTATCTTTTTTCCATCTACACAGAGGGCTTTTTTTACTTTTGTAGGCCTGGTTGGTAATAACTATTAGATCTCTGTTTATAAACTGATCCAGTACCGTTATTCTCCTTGCACGCTTTTGATTCATTGCACTAGATTTGGCAGATTTTTTTTCCTTCAAGTATCTGGGTTTTGCTTTGATGGAGCAAAGAGAAAGGGAGAATAAGACATAGACTCAAGAGTTTTACGCCATTCCTGAGTCCTGGAGAAGTTGTCTGGAGAGGTTGTATGGTCCTCAGCCTGTATTCATCCTTTGTACAGCTTTGGTGAGACCGTTCATTACCAATGGAAAGTCCCTGGTTTTATTATTGTGTTTTGTGACACATGCTATTTCTTTTCCAAAATACTTCAATTCACACAATACAGTATCAGGTTCTCACACTTAAGTTTGTAAAATGTGTCAATTTTGTTCAACTACTAAATTGAACAGAACTGAAGCAGAAGGAAAGAAAGAAATAGTCTGAGAGGTGGTGATGTAATGTAGCTAGTAAGAGAATGACTGCTTAGTAGTCATTTTCTTGCTTTTCTTACTACCACAACAGTAATCCATTATGGTGAAAAACCTGTCATTAGAGCAGAAAAGCCATATTTTTGTATTTACTACGAGGATTTTGACTTACATTTCTGCAATTGTATGTCTTGTGGAGTAGGTATAGACTTGAATTTACAAGCCAGGTGAATATGAAGATTTAGATCTGATTCTGTGCAGGGTTACGTATGCCTATGGAGACGGTCACCAAAGGTAATGCCGTTTCCTTGGCTGTCTGTTTACAGTGTCACAGTTTACAGACCAAACTTTGCACTATTGGAATCTGTGGAAATGTTCCCATCAAATGTGTCACTAGCTCAAGCTGATGTCAAATGCTAAACTTCCCAATGGTTGTTTAAGCAAAGTTCCTATCTGCAATTTGGTCCAGACAATCCAGAAAAATCAGATTGTATTTCAGTTATTGTCATATTGGAATTATTAAGATGTACTCGTCATACACGCAAAATACAACACTGAAATATTTCAGAATAATGTAGGATAATCTCCTATCTTCTGCTATTAGAAAATACATATGCTTCCAATAATTAAAACTGGGATAAAGGGGCAAGTACATTATTTTTTACACCATAACCACACAGTTGATATTTTAAAGATAGATTTCAGCTGAGGGGGTGTGTGTGCGCGCACTAATCACTGGGATTAGTAACGGATTGTATTGGGTTTTTTTTTCCCTGTATTTACCTGGTTATTGATTTAGTTGCTATTTGCCTTCTTTTGAAATGGTTGGCAGTTGTTTGTTACTTTGTTTTTCCAAAGAGGTTATTGTAGTATTTCAAAGAATTGATTAAAATAGGGTTAAAATGAGAGCATAAAATATGTAGTTAAAGGAGGCTTTTTGATTGTTTTTTTTAATCTGCAGATGAAAAGCATAGAAAATTGGAGATCTCCAAAAAAACAGTGTAGAACATTCACTTCTGAAATTATGTTCCTTTGGCAAGGTGCATGGAAAAGATTTGGAAAAAAAAACATAAGTGCTGGCAAAATTTGTAGGAATGTTGGAAAAAAATTTAAAGTGTTGGCATAAGAATTCTTTAAAAATCCTCACTTATTCACATGTGAAATGAAAGTAAAAAAGCATCTGTCCTCTTTTATGCACACTGACTAAATAAAACTGAATAATTATATTTAGCAAAGTACAAAGTTTTCTAAACAGATCTCTGTCTGCATTTGGCTTGCTTTGTTATTTATTCCACTGCGCTAAAATGTTGCGGTTGAATATGGGCATATTTTGGAAAAAACCCCACCAATCACCAAACAAAACAGTGAATATAAAAGAAGAAAATACTAAAGTTTTGAAAGATGATGATCTTAGTTCTAACATGGAATGTTTAAGACTAAATATTATAAATACAATAGAAAAGGTCTTGGATCCATAGAAATTTTTTCACTCACCCTAGTATAGGTAAATTTGAAGATCCTGCAGAATTTTTACCACTGTAACTATTCACTCAAATGGGAGAAAAGCATGTATGTTAAGGTCCTAATCCTATAAACATTTAGTTGTATTGAAATTTAACTGTGTTTTAATTTTATATAAACCAATTAAGCTGCTCATATCTATAAGATTGTACTTAGCTGTTTGAAGGATCAGAAGGGTCATTAAGAATTGTAAACTTAATTTATTTGATTAATTTGTTTATTTTTCATTCTATTACCAAATGTAGCTATTGTTCAGTGAAAACAAATAGGAATCTTAAAACAAAAATGAAAATCAGTCTTGTGTGGCTCAGAAATTATCACACTTTAAAAAAGGATAATATATGAAATCTATTTCACAATCTAAAATAAGCATTTTTGTTAATAATAATAATGATGAAAAATTATTTTAATCTCTTAATTCCCTCTAATTATTTTTTATTTTTACTATGGGTGTACCATCTTACTGTTTTGTTTATTGCAATCATATTTGTTTCACACCCAGTGCTGTTAAAAGTAAGAACTAGATACATGATATCATTACTGTGATTTACAGTCAGTAGAATTCCTAATTGATTTGGTCCTTTATGTTGAACAGTTCGGGCCGTGGTACTTGCCTTGATAATGAGCCTCCCAAGCGTGACTTTCTTTATCCAGCTGTGGCCCCAGGTCAGGTGTATGATGCTGATGAACAGTGTCGCTTCCAGTATGGAGCAACATCCCGCCAATGTAAATATGGGGTAAGAAGTCTTAATCCTTATGCTGAGTGTTCTGCTTAGTCATTTGTATATATTCCTTTATAATATAAATCTTTAGCTAGATGCAGTAGTGGGTTACAGATTTCTCATAGCATGTATGGTGCCATCATACATAAGCAAAGGGTGCATTTTCATCCTTTTGCTGCATCTTTTGCTTGAGTCATTTGTCTGTACTGTACACCAAAATGTGTGGGTAACAATAAGCTGGGGAAAGCATTCTTTAATTTTAGATAAAAAAGGAGCCCAGAACACTTGATCCTGCTCCTTCTAAAGTGTACTACAGAATTTTCCCCAATTTCAGTGAGATCAGGTTCATGTTGTATTAATCTTGAAACATGAAATCTGTTGTGTTGGCTTTAACTTTACAATTTAAAGCTACATTTTGAAATTACTTTTGTACTTGTATTGATTTGTCAGGTCTCTTGTTTTTGGGTTTTTTAAATTATTTTTTTCTGACAGTGAGTTTATTGTTTCTGACATTGTTCAGATCTCTTTTTTGAAACATGAATTACAGTTATGGGAACAGAGGAACATGAAGCTAGATAGCTGAATAGAACACTGAATAGCTAAGTACTAGCAAAGCTTTGGCTTCATGTACCAGTGTGCAATAATTAAGGTAAATAAATTTACAGTAGAAATAAAAGCTTGCACACTTAGGCCATTAGGCAATAGATTTATAAATACTTACGTAAAATCTTGCAGCCCAAAGTACGTAGTAAAAGGATGCATTCTGCAATGCTTGTCATCAAATAATCAGCCGAGACTAAATTAAATAAACCTTGAAAATATATCTAGTGGTTTAAAAGTAAATAGTTTTAATAATGTTTTGATTTTTAGATTGTTCAAATAAAACAATGTAATCATTGAATTTATACTCTATTTACTTCTCTAAAGGCTAGCTACAAAGAAAGTCCATTTTTAATATCCCTGAGGTGATAAATATGGTATTATTCTTGGGATGCCTCTTTGGCAGATCATATTGTGCAAAGGAGTTAAAAGCTGGCTGACTAGCTCACTGGGTCTTCTACTCCTGATCCCTCAGCAGACCTCTTTTGGCCTTTATTGTTCCTCTGTAAGTTCTCACTTCCCACCGCTGTTCTTTAAGGGCCCTGTTTCCTGTCACTACATCTAAGCCATACCTTTTTTTTTTTTACCCTTTTTTCTTACACATTCTCACCACACGCACTCTTTTATTTTCAGACTAAGGAAATCTGCAGGTATTTAATCCATGATTTATAGCACAGCCTGTGGAGATATACTGCATTTTAAATTAAACTGGAAAGCTAATAATGTGCAAAACCTGGCTTTTCCACATGTATGTTATTTTTTTCAAACACCGTTAAACTATGTAATCATTGTTGTGATGATCACGCTGCACAGTACACTTTGTGTCTTAAACCAGTTTCTAAACCACAAACAATTGGAAGTAATGAAGATGTGTAGGTAATCTTGGCTTTCTGCCTTCTGCTTTCTTTTTGTTTTAAAGTGTTTGTTGGGATTCCCTTATAGTTACAAAAAAAAGAGGTTGACACTTAATTGAGGCAAGTTAAAAGAAGTTACGTCTTCAGGTGACATTACCAGTCCTCTGAATTGATACAGTGTATTGTGTTCCATCAGTGTGCCATCAGTGTAAGCATAACTTATAAGTGTCTCAGAAAAAAGCCCCTATTTTTAATAATAGGATTCAAACTGCCTATATTAATATAACAGGTTATTGTAGAAGTCTGGTAATATCCACTTCAAGAAATTATATGCATTTAAAATAGTGTCTACATTTAAAAATATTATCCGCCATGGCCATAATGCTCTGAAAATGCGATCATGATGATTATGATCGTACAGATTTCAAGTGATAATTTTTAAGGGGAAAAAAGAAAAAGGCTTTGGAAGCTGGTAGTGCAGATGGAAAATATCCACACAAGAAAGACCTATTCATATATGAAAGGGGTTTTAGAAATAAGTCGTGGAACTAGATCTAAATACCGGAAAAAGTTAAGTTGAATACTCTGCTCAACTCTTTCATTATCAAAAGTAAATAGTCAGTGCTTTGGATATTCCTGTTTGATGTACTATTCACATGAAGATGTTCATTGATCTTATTCTAACAGACAGATGTGCAACTACGGACAGAAAAACGTAGTAAAAAAACATAATTAACAGTGGACCTAGTTTGTGTACTGACTTATTTTTATCACCTCTTTTAGCCCTTTTTATTTGAAGTGCCTGGTAAAATAAGGTAGAGCAGGTTTTCCAACGTGATGTTTAGTGACCTAGAAGGAAAAAAGTTCTAAACCAAAGGGAAATCTCAGAGATTACTTGCCTTTTTCATGGTCTTTACTGATTTGTGATGGCGAGACATGACAAGAGAAACAGTCAAACTCTCAAATCAAAGACCAGAAAATTACAAGTCTCCTTTGGGCTCTGATGTAGCTGTTGAGATAGTTGGTGTTGTTAAAGTAACTTGGAAAATCTTCATGTTCTTTCTGCTTTGGAATTCTGTTATATTGTCTTATTAACCGTTGGAAAAATTACTTCTTTTAACCATTCAGCTTTAATGTTAATCTATATTCATTGCCTTTTCTTCTGTATTTCCTCATCCATTACCTCTCTATGTTTATTTTAAACTGTTTGTTGCTTTTGATCATAGATCATGTCCAAATCCTGCAAAGAATTTTGCATATTTAAGAACCTGAAGGCTTTCTCACTTAGGAACTTGAAGTTAAATACATGGAGAGGTGTTTGAATGATTAAAGCATCAGAACTAAAGTGTTAAAAGGGGCTGCGAGTTTCTGTCTTTCTATGTGTGTGTGTTTACTGACAAGGATCCAATGTGATCTTCAAATGAGCTCTTTGGTAGTTCTTTTGATACTATTGTAAGTACTAGACTTAATAAAACTATTTAGTTGCTTATGGACAGAACTGTTCCAGGAAAACCGTTGTATTGTTCAGCACATTAAGTCGGACGAGAATTCAAAGCTTTAGCTCTTTGAGCTGAAAAAATAAAACTACATGTTAGCAAGTAGGCAGTGATACTTGTAATGTTACATGTGCATTGTTCTTTCTAGTATACACCATTTCTGATACAGGGGCAATTTTGGAGAATTTAAGTGAAGAAATACATACTTCGAATAAAGAATTGAGAGGCAGTATCTCAAGCTACTTAAAATATTTCATTTTTAGGGTACAATTTTCGATTCAGGAGAATGTTAAATTTATGACTTACAGTGAGCCAAACTGTAATGGTGAAAATTTCGCTATACAATACTGGCTCATAGCTTTTTCCTAAAGGCAATACATGCTTTCAGGTGTCTTACTGGATTCATTGCAGTGGGAGATTTTGAGGTTATTAGGAACAGTGCTAGATCCTGTTCATTTGTGTAGCTACTGGATATGCTACATCCTCTAGGGTGATGCAGTATGAATTCTCTTCTGCTGATTAAGTGTGTCTCAGTTCTTTGCTCTGTTGGTATGCCAGTTCCCCTGGTAGTTCAGAACCTTTTTCGATCCTTTTGTTTAGGTGAGTGTAAGGAGAACTTTTTTCATTGACTACTTACCTGCTTAACCTTTGAGCATCTGCCTGATAACAGTTGGCTGTTGGCTGTCTCTGGGTTAACTCAGGAAAGAATTCTAGTCTTGTCTTTGAATTTCTCTGTTTTATGAGTTTAAATAATACCTGTAATATGCCTGACTGTAACTTACAGATTTTGTGGTTCAAAATAATGCCTTGCTTTAGAGCTAGTCCCCGCATTTTTAGGACAGAGGCTAAAACCTCAGACATTTTAATAGCAGTTAATACTTTATGCATATGGTTGATATTGCTGTGGTGCATTTTATGATCTGTGAAGCGGCTGGCTGCTAGCATGGGTTTCGGAGATAGTGCCTTAAAATTCTTCGGTATATTTTTTTGCATTTTATGTCAGTAAATACTTGGAGTAGGGGGAAAAGGGGACAAACTCTCCTTTCCTTCGCATACATAGCTTTGCTGAAGTCAGCAGGACCACTCATTGTATTTCACACTAGAGTTTAACAGATCAGGTAATGTATTTCAGCTGATGACAGGTAGCTCTCTTCTTTGTGATGGTCTTATGTTTGCAATTAAGTTCTCCAGTTAGTTTGCCAACTAAAATAGCTTTAAACTCAAATACACATTTTGTTAGTGCATTTTGGAGGACAGAGTTCAAGCTATGAACTTACTGCTTGTAAACAGGCAGAATGAAGATACACTCTCAGAATAAGCATTCTTCCTCCTGCCTTCAATAGGTCCCTTGTGTTAGTTATTTCTAGGAAGTTTTTAATGAGTCCTGGGGAGCTGCCATAGAGTTAATTACTGTTAATGGAAAGTTCCTGGGAAGGTGTCAACTACAGAAATACAGGACATGCAGTTGTCATACCTTCACTGATTCATAGTTTCCCACATGCCAGTTCAGAGACAGAATAGCTTAACCTAATAAGTAATACCAAAACAAAATGGCATTGGTCAGCTAACTTTCAAATCCAGGAGAGTAAACAAATTGCTATACACAACAGTTCTACAATATTTCTTCTAGGGCAAAATAGCCTGAATTACAATTGACCCTTGTAATCAGGTGCTACAAACTTTAATGTTACTGAACTAAACTGTCACTTTTTTCATGAAACAGTGATGTGATTTACTCCAGTTAAATAAAGAGGGGTATTAAGCTTGATATAGGGTTTTTATAGGAAGGTGGAATCAGATTCTGGAAGCTGTTTTTTCAGAAGGAAAGGCAGAGAAGTCACTAATGTATCTTTGCACCAGAGCTACTGGTTCCCTTTTGTTCCCTCATCCATTGATACTATGACTGGGATTGTGCATTCAGTTGAATCTGTACATAGTACTTAGTAACTCACTGAAAAGTGACTTTTTTTTTCCCCAGCTTCATATGTCATACCATGGTTAAGTCTCTTTATACTTGGTGTGTGTTAGCAGAGCATAAGTAGTTTGGTCAGATGGATTTATATTA